ACCGGTTCAGGAGACGGGTCAGGCCAACTTCCATCAGTACCAGTCCATCGCCAACGTGCCAGTAATCAGCGTCCATGACGGCCAACCATTCAACGGCCACACTAAGAGAGCACGCCTACATCGGCCCTATCGCAAAAATGATTTCAAAAAGGTAGGTCACACCACAAAGTGTGCCCATATCGGCCCAAACAGAATATCAATAGCATGGCCCCTTCAACGGCCACAACAGCAAAGCAAAAACAACTCCACAACCATCGACCTTGTATAAAACCCTGATGATAACTTCTTGAAAGCGACCTGCATCCAAGGGTTCTCCCACAGGGTTACCTTGGTCAGGAAATTTCCAAGGGGATGGATTCAGGGGAACACAAGAATCCCGCTTCGGCCTAGGGTTACGCCTTACTCCTTCACCCCTCGCTCACTCTTCGGTCTAAAGCAGTGGGGGACTGAGGGACTACACCGGCCTCTGGAATACAAGAGGACAAAATCAAAGAAACCCAAAAATATACTAAGTCCACAACTACAACATTAGATGCACCATAACGTCCTTGTGGTGCACCTTCGGCCGCAGCAGAGTCAACACACAAAGAACTCCCTCCAAAGATGCAACACCTGAGATCACAGGCCACTCAACGGCCTTCAGATCACATACTTCGCTTTCGGCCCAGGATAAAAAACAGGAACCTAACGTCCTTGGGTCACCATCGTCCATAAGATCAGAGCGCGCACAACTCCTGGAACAACGCCGCCACCGTCCTAAAAAATGGACACCAAGCTGCGGACACCACCGCTTCGGCCTTAAGCGCGAAAGCAATCATGAGGCCCCCTCGGCCAAATGACCAGAAAAAACAGCACCCATATAAGCTATTCAAACCAAGAGCACATACCGGCCACTTAGTCAGGACACTCATCGTCCTCAAATGAGCAAACTTACCCCATCAGAACATCAGCTTTCTTTGTCCACCGTAAAGAGCATACAACGGCCAAATCGTTGAACCAAGACAGAAAATGGCCACAACGGCCAGAAGACATCAAGACTGGAATCTACTCACCCTCACTTCATCTACATCTCAGCTCGGAGAGTGGGGGACTCCTGATGGAGTATATGGGCCTGGACCCCAGGACCCACATACTCAGAAGAATGAAAGGCACAATTGTCACCCTGTGGGGCCTCCATCGGCCGGACGGCCCTCCGTCGACCAGAAGGAGATCAACTCAGAACATGGTCCAGAAGCCAGAAGAACCGGGTGTCCCCGTCGGCCGGGGCTTCGTCGACCATGGCTTTGTCGGCCATGGCTCCATCAGCCACAGAAAGCTCCCAGAACCGGACTTCACTCTTAGTTATTTCTACATATTCTGTACTCAGCCCAATAGTGGCCCAATTGTAAATGGGCCTCCCAAACCCAAGACTTGGGAACCCAGCCCTAATTTCCTCTATAAATACTCCCCTTGGGAGTAGTTGTAGGGGGTTCACAAATCATTAATAAAAAGCAATTACAGCACTTCTCTCTCTAGCTCTCACTTCTCTCTAGGAATTAATACTCCATCAAGATCAATTAACATTATGACCAATAAAAAGACGTAAACCAAACTTGAATGTTGGCCAATTTGCAAATCAAACAAATAAACATACAGAAGTGAGATAGTGCATGTAATATTTTGTATATACACACACATATAGAGTCCGTTTGGTAACTATGTTTTTCAGCCTTTCAGGTTATCAACCAACTTTTTCACTAAACACCTAATTTTTGATTTCACGCTTCGAATTGTGTAATAATAAGAAAAAAGTAGATTGGAGTTACTTTTCTGGATATATTGGCTCAAGTTACTCTAGAGGATCATTTTAACTATTTTTTCATATATTTTATTAATAAAAAATAATTCAAATATAAATTTTTGTATAAATCAGCAGAAACAACCAATATAGACACTTCGGTCAGAATTTCATAAATTTCAGAAGAATTAGTCGATTCAACCAATTTCATTACTAAACGTACTCATAGATGGGTAGTATATTTGTGGGGCCTAGATTTTTTCAATTTTGTGGGCCTCCAGGCTTTTGTTCGGCCCTGCTTGTGTGAAAATGGAAAAGCCCTGCCGCCATATTCCACACGGATATTTATTTACGTAAACGAAAGCCTCTTGTTGCCCCAATACATCATTTCTCGCCTATATATACTCTCAAACTGATCAGAATTGCTTTGTATACTCTTCTCTTTGCCCGGCCGCAGCATTCACTCATCTACAGGTTAGTTAGATCCAGAAGATTTCGTAATAATTTATGAGTTCCGGGCATACATATATAAGCATTTCATGTAGTCTCTAAATTTAGCCATGTTTTCTTTGTGAATCAAGCTGTTCGCTTTGTTTTTATTTAAATAGTAGTAGAAATGGTGTTTAAGTACGTGTATCTCCTGAATCTTTTTCTATATTGAACCTCTAGATACTTACCGAGCGAGATCTTTGTTACTCGCGCTATTACTAGGTCAGAGTTATTGTTTAGTTTTTCTCTGTATTTCTTGTTCAGGAATTCTGGAGTATTGTAAATCTGTGGTTGATTTTAAATAGATGTGTGAGAACTAACTATTTTGAAGATCTCGATGTCTTTTCTTACCTCATCTCTGTTTGCAAGTTATATTTTAAACTGGAATGATTTTGTTGTAATCCATATTAAGAAATAGTCTGGAGAATTGTCAATAGATGGTTAATTTTAATTTGATGTGTCAGATTTGCCTGTTCTGAAGATCTGGGTGTCGTTTGTTATGTCATCTAAGTCATAAAATATTTTTCAAACACTGTATAGTGATAAGCTATTGTAGACTTTGAATAGCATTTGGTGGAAGTTTTTTTATATAATTCTATATGTAGTTTATTAGTCGTTGATCAAGTTTTTAATTGGAAACCATGATTATAATCTCTAACTCTCTATATTCATTTCTATGTGCTTACAGGTACCATAATCCACCATGGGTAAGGAAAAGGTTCACATCAGTATTGTTGTCATTGGCCATGTCGACTCTGGGAAGTCAACCACCACAGGACATTTGATCTACAAGTTGGGAGGTATTGACAAGCGTGTGATTGAGAGGTTTGAGAAGGAAGCAGCTGAGATGAACAAGAGGTCCTTCAAGTACGCATGGGTTCTTGACAAACTCAAGGCTGAACGTGAGCGTGGTATCACAATCGATATCGCTTTGTGGAAGTTTGAGACCACGAAGTACTACTGCACTGTCATTGATGCTCCTGGACATCGTGACTTCATCAAGAACATGATTACTGGAACCTCTCAGGCTGATTGTGCTGTTTTGATCATTGATTCCACCACCGGTGGTTTTGAAGCTGGTATTTCCAAGGACGGTCAGACCCGTGAACATGCTTTGCTTGCTTTCACTCTTGGTGTGAAGCAAATGATTTGCTGCTGCAACAAGGTTTCATTTATAAACTATCAATTTATAGTTCTAATGATTTAATTTTAATAGTATTCTGTTATGTCAAACAACTTATGCTGATGATCTCTTGATGTTTAATTTGTAGATGGATGCCACAACCCCGAAGTATTCGAAGGCTAGGTATGAGGAAATTGTCAAGGAAGTGTCATCCTACCTGAAGAAGGTGGGATACAACCCTGACAAAATCCCCTTTGTTCCAATCTCTGGGTTTGAAGGTGACAACATGATTGAGAGGTCAACAAACCTTGACTGGTACAAGGGACCAACCCTTCTCGAGGCTCTTGACCAGGTCAACGAGCCCAAGAGGCCATCTGACAAGCCCCTCCGTCTACCTCTTCAGGATGTCTACAAGATTGGTGGCATTGGTACTGTACCTGTTGGCCGTGTTGAGACAGGTGTGATTAAGCCCGGTATGCTGGTCACTTTTGGGCCAACTGGTCTGACCACTGAAGTGAAGTCTGTTGAGATGCATCATGAGTCTCTTCAAGAGGCACTTCCTGGTGACAATGTTGGATTCAATGTTAAGAATGTTGCCGTCAAGGATATTAAGCGTGGGTATGTTGCATCTAATTCCAAAGATGACCCTGCCAAGGAAGCTGCCAGTTTCACCTCCCAGGTCATCATCATGAACCACCCTGGTCAGATAGGAAATGGTTATGCCCCAGTTCTCGACTGCCACACCTCCCACATTGCTGTCAAGTTCTCTGAGATATTGACTAAAATTGATAGACGGTCCGGTAAGGAGCTTGAGAAGGAGCCTAAGTTCTTGAAAAATGGAGATGCTGGGATGGTGAAGATGGTTCCCACCAAGCCCATGGTTGTGGAGACCTTTGCTGAGTACCCGCCTCTTGGGCGTTTTGCAGTGAGGGACATGCGGCAAACTGTTGCTGTTGGAGTCGTCAAGAGTGTAGAGAAGAAAGAGCCCTCTGGTGCTAAGATTACCAAGGCTGCCGCGAAAAAGAAATGAACTGTGTTTTTGCTTCCTTCGAATGTGTTGCTTTGGTCAATGTGTTGTCTTTTATTTCTTGCCCATTCTCAGAATTGGGTACTGGATAGGCGGTGGAGAGACTTTACTTTTCTGTTGGACTTTGTTTTGTGAGTTTTTTTTTGTACCGGGTGCCCTTTACTATCTTTAATTTAGTGGCTCTCAGACTCTCAGAGTTTTGTTGTCATTCAGTTTATGTTGGACTTTAATGGAAATGTAATTGTTTGTTTCCTAGCTAATACTTCGTAGTTCGTATGTTATAAACATGTAGTGTGTTTATTCGAGCTGTGTAGTTCACGAAGGGACATATTTCGTGTATTCTTATATTAAGGGGAGGGGGGTGGAAGTACAATAACTAACACGCTAGGAAAGTGTCGGAGTCTGATGTGGTTCGCAATCTTTATAACTATAGGAAATTAGGAACTAGAATCAAATCTTTATAACTATAGTGTCGGAGTCTGATGTGGGCCGCCGGTTCTAGAATAGTGTGCCCGGGACCGGCCCGAGGGTTGGACGGGTCCGGTTCGGGCCGGGCCACCCGCCCGGGTCATGGGTCGGGCCACCCGTCGGGCCGGGCCGGGTAATTTTTTTTTTAAATTTATATTTTATACTTTATAGTTTTATACAACTATTAAAAAACAAACTTCAAGTGTATTTATTTGAAATGAAATAGGAACTACATTTGAAAATTAAATAGGAACTATAATTGTTTTTAATCGGAATCTCCGGCATAAGTAGAGTCACCCTCTGTAGATTCATCCATAAAGTGTTGGGATGGAGTGATGTCAATTTCTTGAGCTCTACGTGCTGTTTTCAACCAATCGTGGTAGCATATAAGCATTTCAAGAGATTCAGCGCTCAACCTCGTTCTGGTTTGTGTTAGAACATTGCCGGCCGAACTAAATTCTTGTTCCACGGCAACCGTTGAAACCGGCATTGATAGCACTTGCTTAGCCATCTTTGCTAAAACCGGGAACATTCTTTCTTTTCCTTTCCACCAGTTTAGTACGTCAAAATCATCATCTTCTTCAAAATCAACATCATAAGTTAAATACAAAGAAATCTCATTAATTGTGCTTTGTTGTGTAGCGGGAGTTGATTTTGTTTTTTTAATAAGATTGGCAAACGTAGATTTGAAAATTGATTTTCCTTTAGATGATGTTTGTGTCGGGGGAGGGGGCGCATTGCCATATTGTGCATGAAACTCATTGAATAATGCATAAAATATATCACTAACCTCGTTGTATTCTTTTTTCGGATCAATTGGGTTGTCCTCATACATTGGCAATGGACCAAAAAAAGCAGCATAATAATAATTCAAACATTCTTCTAAAGAACCAAGTCTAAAACGAGGATCGAGAACAAATGCAATACCATAAATATGCGGAATATGTGAATAATATTTTAAAAACTTTTCCTTCATAAAACCAGCAAAATAATTCACATAATCAGCATTCTCAAAATTTGAAAAAGCACTGGCGAGATTAACAGCTTCACGAATAAATTGGTTTGAGGTAGGTTTATAAACATGACTAGAAGTTTCAGTTGCATTATTAAAATATATCAAAGCATTACAAATTTTTTCACAGGTGTCGATCTCAGCCGAGTTTATAATATAGTTATCATATTGTTTCATAAAAGCAGGAAAATGTTGTTTATATCTAAGAAGAACTCCAATTAACTTATAGGTACTATTCCAACGAATAGACAAATCTTTTGGAAAAGCCACATATCTCTCACCTCTTTGTATCAAATAATCATGTCATTTTTTCCTAAGGTGTCCATTACCCCAAATACGTCTAATCCCCCCTTGACTACCTCCAACGATGCTCCTAACGCTTTTAGACCATCTTGCACACATAAATTTAGAACATGACATGCACAGCGTTGATGAAAAAATCTACCCATCAAAGAAGTAGAACCACACAATTCACGCAATCTAGGAATAGCAGCAGTATTATTAGTAGCATTATCAAAACCAATAGCAAACACCTTATCAATTAAATTATACTCAATTAAAATACGTTCAATCAAAATATAAATATGTTCAGCGGTGTGACGATCATTAAATTCACGGAAAGCAAGAACACGTTTATGCATATGTCAATCATTATCAATATAATGTACAGTCAGACCCAAATAATGTAAATTATGATAAGTATCCTCCCATATGTCAGAACATACAGTAACACGTCCATCAAAGTTTGCAAAATAATTTTGTAACCTTACCTTTTCCGCACCATAAAGCCTTGAAATTTCTTTCTTAACCGTTTTGCGACTATAACCTCTATATTGCGGATTTAAACAAGTTTGTGCATAATCACGAAAAGCAAGACTTTCAGAAAACAAATAAGGCAAATTTTCTTCAACAAGTAAGTTAGCCATACCTGTCAAATTTTGTGCATCATTGTATGAGAAATTACCAAAAGCTTGTTGATTATTTGCAAACCTCGATATTTGCGTTTGCTTCCCCGTTCCGCCGCCTAATTTTGCATACTCCACCGGGTGTTTGGACTTAAGGTGTCTTGTGGCGGATCCGTATCCGCCGGAAATCCCCAAGCTATAGTTTTGTGTACAACATTATTTTTAAACTAGAGTCAAATGTAGCAATTAATAAAAAATTGTAAAAAACTAATTAACTATTTATCTAACTATTAATTCGAGTTATAGCAAATTAAGTAGTGAATTAACTAGTTTTGTGTACAACATATTTTTTAAACTAGAGTCAAATGTAGCAATTAATAAAAAATTGTAAAAAACTAATTAACTATTTATGTAACTATTAATTCGAGTTATAGCAAATTAAGTAGTGAATTAACTAGTTTTGTGTACAACATATTTTTTAAACTAGAGTCAAATGTAGCAATTAATAAAAAATTGTAAAAAACTAATTAACTATTTATGTAACTATTAATTCGAGTTATAGCAAATTAAGTAGTGAATTAACTAGTTTTGTGTACAACATATTTTTTAAACTAGAGTCAAATGTAGCAATTAATAAAAAATTGTAAAAAACTAATTAACTATTTATCTAACTATTAATTCGAGTTATAGCAAATTAAGTAGTGAATTAACTAGTTTTGTGTACAACATTATTTTTAAACTAGAGTCAAATGTAGCAATTAATAAAAAATTGTAAAAAACTAATTAACTATTTATGTAACTATTAATTCGAGTTATAGCAAATTAAGTAGTGAATTAACTAGTTTTGTGTACAACATTATTTTTAAACTAGAATCAAATGTAGCAATTAATAAAAAATTGTAAAAAACTAATTAACTATTTATCTAACTATTAATTCGAGTTATAGCAAATTAAGTAGTGAATTAACTAGTTTTGTGTACAACATATTTTATAAACTAGAGTCAAATGTAGCAATTAATAAAAAATTGTAATTCCAACTATATTGATAAAAAATCGTAATTCCAACTATACTAATTAACTAGTAATTAAACAAGTGTAAATAATAGAATAATTTCGTACCTCTTTCGGACTTTCGGTCTTTCGGATGGGAGTAATAGAATGACTTCAAATTAATTAGATATAATTCCAACTATATTAATAGATATAATATATATATAAGTAATATATAATTAGATAACAAATATAAGTAATATAATACTATTTATATCTATTTATAGTTTATATAAGTAGATAATTAATATAAACTATAAATAATAAATATAATATATTGGAGAATGGAGAATAAGAGAATTAGAGAGTAGAGAGTTAAGAATAGGATTTAGGAAGAATTGGAGAAGAGATATGAAAAAACGTTTAAGATTAGGAGTATTTATAGGTTTTTTTACCCCCCACCCCCCCCCCACCACCCAACCCCCCCGGGTCACAAAAATGCTGAATCGAGCCCGCCCCGCCCCTTCCCCCCGGTTCGGGCCCAGACCCGGTCCCGGGCCGCCCGACCGAGCCGGTCCCGGGCCCGCACAGTACCGGGTCACGGGCCGGGTGGCCAGAACCGAATCCATCCCTACTCCCGGGTATTAAATGTGAAGACTGGAATTGTCTCGGGTTTCAACGGATCTGGTTCCCGTCCCCGCTTGATAGGGGTGGACTCGGGCCGGGTGGCCCGACCCGGGACCGGCCCGGGACCGGTACTGTTCCGGCCCGGCACGACCCGGTGGCCCGGTCAGTGGCCCGGTACTGTGGGGTTTTCGGTTCGGGCTCGGGTCACCCAAAACAAGGCCCGACCCGGCCGGGCCCGGTTCGGGCCAAAACCTATTTTTTTTTTTTCAATTTTTTTTAAATTTTCGGCTTGGGCTGGGTATTTTGGGCCATTTGGGGTGGTTTGGGGGTGGGAGGGGGGTTACCCGACCCGGACCCGGACCTGAGTCCACCCCTACCCCTTGATAAAGTTGAAAAAATATGTAGTTGTTGTGATCGGGATTGGCTATGGATGGACTCGGGTCCGGGCTGGGTCCGGGTCAGGCCTAGGCCCGAGTGGGCCGGCGGTTCAGAAATGGTGGACCCGGGACCGGCCCGGGTAACCACCGGGTCCGGGTCGAGCCGGGCCCATTATATATTTTTTGTTTTCCTCTTCCTAATTAACCCCCCTCCCACCCCCAACCCCCCAAACCACCCCAAATGGCCCAAAATACCCAGCCCAACCCGAAAATTTAAATAAAATTGAAAAAAATAGTTTTTGGCCCGAACCGGGCCCGGCCGGGTCGGGCCTTGTTTTGGGTGACCCGAGCTCAGACCGGAAAACCCACGGGCCGGGCCGGAACAGTACCGATCCCGGGCCTGTTCCGGGTCGGGCCACCTGGCCCGAGTCCATCCCTAGGACTGTTGTTATCCGCACACAATTTTTGGATAGAAAGTAAATTAAATTTGAGATGAGGCACATGATAAACAGATTTTAGCAAAAGGGGACGACTGATAGAATTTAAAGTAATATCACCAATATTAGCCACAGAGAGATTAGAACCATTAACAACACTAACTGATATGGGTCCATTATAAGGGAATTTATTAACTAACATACCTTCATTCGGGGTCATATGAGCTGAAGTCTCAAAATCTGGGTACCATAAAACATGATCAGCATCGCCACTAGGAGTCAATAAGACCGTTGTGGATGAAGAAGAAAATCGAGAGGGCCAATGCATAGCGGAATGATCTACAGAAAAACAAATCTGACAGACAGTGGGAGAGGGAACAGACCCAAGAACTGCCTCAGCAGATGGAAAGCCTGCATTTCCAGAGTTAGTACCAAACGTATAGAAAGGGATTAATATTTAAAGTTGATAGTGTATATATCTAGAGAGAAGTGAGAGCTAGAGAGAGAAGTGCAAGTAAATGCTTCAATAGAATGATTTTGTAACCCCTATAACTACCTCCAGAGGAAGTATTTATAGGAAAAATACGGGCTGGGCTCCCAAGCCTTGGGCTTGGGAGGCCCATGTACAACTGGACCGCTATTGGGCCGAATACAAAGTAAATGATGGGATATATAAATGAATAAGTGTAAAGTCTAGTTCTGCGAGTCCTCCGTGGCCGACGAGGGTCTGGCCGACGAGGGCACGACGGATGAGGGCACGGCCGATGAGGACACCCTGGTTCCTTGGCTTCAGGATCATATTCTGAGTCGGTCCCTCTTCGGCCGACGAGGGTCCTTTGGCCGACGAGGGCACTGCGTAGTGGCTTGTGCTTTCTGTTCTTCTGAGTATGTGGGATTGTGGGTCCTGGGGCCTAGACTCATATACTCCATCAGGAGTCCCCCACTCTCTAAGCTGAGATGTAGACGAAGTGAAGGAGAGTAGATTTCTGTGCTTGATGCTTTTGGCCGATGCGGGACCACGTTGGTCGTTCCCTGTCGTGGCGTTTGGTGGCCCTGTTCTGAGTTTGGCCGCTACCTTCCCCTTGATGTGGACGATGAGCGTTCCGGTCATGGGGGGCCGATGAAGACATTCTTTCCTTCTCACGACCTTCGGTGGCTGGATTTTGTTTTTGGGCCGAGGAGGCCACTGCGGTTGCGTTCTTGTTTGAAGACGACGAGCCTCCCTTATCTTGAGTGCCCGTTAAGGGTGCTGTTCACTCCTTCTGACCATTGGTTAAAGTTCGTACTGTTGGCCGAGGAGGCCATTGGGGCTGCCTTTTGGTTGGACGATGAGCGTCCTTACTTGGTGGAAAGATGAGCGCCCTTTGTCACAAATGGCCGATGAATGGTCGTGCCCACTCGTGACAGTTGATGGCTGCTCTCCGCTCTTTGGGGCCGAGGAGGCCCTTGTGGTTGTCTCCTGTTCGAGGATGATGAGTGTTCTTTTGTTCCCAGGTAGCCGGTGAGGGTGCGGTTTGCTTCTTAGCCGTTGGCCGTGTTCTGTATTTTTTGGCCGAACGGTGTTGTCCGTAGTCTGATGTTCACGCTTTTGAGGACGATGACGGCACTGATCTGGGAGGGAATTCTTTGTTCGCTAGCTTTGCTGCGGCCGATGGTGCACCACGATGTTATGGACGTTGTGGTGCATGTCTAATGTTGTAGTTGTGGACTTAGTATATTTTTGGATTTCTTTGATTTTGTCCTGGTTTGCAAAGGCCGGTGTAGTCCCTCAGTCCCCCACTGCTTCAGGCTGAAGAGTAGGTGAGGGGTGAAGGAGTATCTTGAAACTTAGGCCGAAGTGGGGTCCTCATACTGCCCTTGGATCCAACCCTTTGGCGATTTCCTGACCAAGGTAACCCTATGGGAGAACCCTTGGACGCGGGTCGCTTTCAAAGGGTTATCATCAAGGGTTTAGAGTGAGGGCCTCATGGCCGTTAGGTTCCCTTCCTTTGGGGTATTGTGGCCGTTGTAAAGCGTTCCTTTGCGTAATATGCGTGGCCGCTTAGATGGCCGATACAGGTGCGATGTGGATGGCCGTTGGCTGTGTTGGCCGTCATGGGTGCTATTTTTCCCTCCTTGATCCGTAGGGCCTGCTTCGTTGGTGGGCCGCTGATTTGTGGAGGAGGTTTGACCTATAGACAGAATGGTGGCATCCCATTGGTGGCCGTTGGTGTGGCCACTAAGGTGATGCCACGTGTAGTTACCGTTAGGAGGGGGGCTATAAATACCCTCCCCGTTCCGAGGACTGCCTTCATTTGCATTCTTAGTAACGAAGTGCTGCCCAAATTTTTTAGAGAGATAAAGCCTTTGCTGAGTGTTCTTCACCTTCTTCAAAACTTCAAGGTTAGTTCTTCAATCCGTTCTTCTACTTCTTACATGTTTTGCTCTTTCTAGGCTTTGATTCGGTGTTAGTCACAAAAACACTTTAGATCTAAAATAGCTCCCCTTAGTGCCTTAGGAGTTGTTAAGATGAAATCCTTAAACGAGGAGTATTACTCGTACGACGACGAACCTTCCGCCAAGTCTCTTGACAAAAAGCAATAGTGTGGCATGACAAGAACATTTGTCAGAGGGAATTCCAAGTTGGGCAGAAAGTACTCCTATTCAACTCAAGACTCCGGTTGTTTCCCGGAAAATTGAAGTCCCGTTGGTCGGGACCGTTCGTCATCACCGAGGTCCGGCCATATGGAACAATGATGATCCAACAAGGTACTAATGAACCCTTTGCTGTGAATGGACATCGTTTGAAGCTCTACATGGAACACCACAACACCTCCGCCACCATCTCTTGCAACTTGGAGGATTGATCACGAAGAACGTCCGGCCAACG